GGTGCCTCCAAATGAGGTCATCAAGCTGCGACCTGATTGACAGGATAAACTCCACCCCTTCACTCTTAAGTCTCAAATTGACAACAGATTATGTAACTACCACAATTGAGATGCTTTATCTCGTTTCTGCAAGTTAACAGAGACCGACTGCTATTTCTGAGACACAGTGTCATTGTTTGTTCCTTTTTTATAATACAAAACAGTCCCCAAACCCCTGTTGTGGAATCCAGAGAGCCAAGGTTAGCCAGGCAGTTCGGTACCAGTCTACCCTCAGCTGGAGCCACAGGCAGAAAACAAACATTGTCTCTGTCAAAATCTTGGTTTTGAGTCTGGTTCCAAAATTGCCAGGGAAGGCCTGGCAATGATTGACCAGACCATTGTGACAGGTTTGAAGAGAAGTGACTATTTACAACAACATTTCCCAGCGCTGTCTCCTGCAGGGCCTGTGTGTAAGTGTTGGGCCCAATTACTATTTGGGCATGGACCTCTGGATAGGCAGGCGTTAGCATGTTGAGTCCTGGACTTGCCCAAGGAGACACATTTACTCACTGCTGAACTGATTGTCTCCCCTAATACATGTCCTCCTGATTCTGCACCTGCACAGGGTCAGTCAGTCATCCTGGTGTTCCAGAGATGTTCTGCCACAATCCAAATCCCCAAGAGTTCCAGATGCTAAAAGCTCGTGCAAAACAAACATAAATCTCCCCTCTCTGACTGGTGTGAACTGAACAGGTTAGGATACTCTCAGCCCCAGGGCTCAGATGCCTGTGAATCCTCCAGCCCAAGTTCTAACTCAACCTCTCTCCAATTATGTTGGGAGAGCAATGCTCATTAGTAGTGACAGAGAGGGACGGGGCCATCAGTCCTCCATTATGGTTCAAAGAGAGCAGCTGGGACCTCAGGCCTCCTGCCAGACAGCACAGAATCCATGGCTTCCCCCTCCGTTTCTTTCTGGGTTCTTTGTGTTAATCCCTCTCTCTGAGACACTGCAATGCTATTAGCAGGGGGTTGTGTTTCTCGTGGGAGATGTGGCACTCAGGCCGCTGAAAGTTTGCCTCCAATTCCAAAGGTTTTCTTGGGAGAGGGAATAGGAGTGGCTCAGCCGACATGGCCATCGTGGATCTCCAAGCTTCGTCAGCTACTGGAAGCATTACAGTGGTTATTCCCTCCATTCTTGGAGCCTTGACTAATGCTTTCCGTTCAGCTTTAACTTCTTCCATGGGTGTCCCTAGTTCTTGATCCTTGGCTTCCTCGAAGTGGTTGACTGTTAAGTCATTCTCTCTGGTCTCGTGACTCTGTAGTATTTGCATCTTCTTTTGATGCTTCCTGGATCAGTTGATATGTTGCCCAGGTGGTTGTTCGTTAGGTGACATTGAGTCAGTTCTGACTCATGGTGACCTTGTGCACAACAGAACAAAACACTGCCCGGTCCGCACCATCCTCACAATGGTTCCTGTGTTTGAGCCCATTGTTGCAGCCAAGACAAGCAGGAAGAAAGAGGGAGAAGAAAGAGGCCAGTTATCCACGCCATCACTTGTAAAGTAGGCATCACCCCCAAGGAGATGTCCTGACTGAGAGGATGGGCTCCACCCATACCTTCTCAAAGGTGTAGCCAAGTTGACACAAAGTATTACGCTAACTAACCACCAAGAGGGCATTCCCATTTGTGCCCATTCCAAAGAAAGGTAGCCCAACAGACATGGAAGTTATTTGACAATATAATCAACATCATATGAAAGTAAAATTTTGCTGAAAGTAATTCAGCAACAGTTGGAGCAGTACCTCAACAGAGAGCTGCCAGATATTCAAGCTTGATTTAGAAGAGGACATGGCACGATGACATCATCGATGGTGGGGCATGGATCTTGATGGAAAGTAGAGAATAGTAGAAACATGTTTACTTGTGTTGCACTGAAGATGCAGCGCATTCAACTGCGTGGATCATAATAAACTGTGTACAACACTGAGAAGAATGCAAATTCCAGAACATTTCATTATGGGAAACCTGTACATGGACTAAGAGGCAGACATTATTGGGCCTCCACTCAGGTACTAACAATGCAAGAACATTTTGTTCTATTAAACTGGCATTCCATGATGCTCACCTTCCCGACATGATCACTGAAGACAAAGTGGGTGCATACGCAAATGTGGTGAAGAAAACTGATGGTACCCGCTATCAAAAGAGATAGCGCCTGGGGTCTTAAAGGCTTGAAGGTAAACAAGCGGCCATCTAGCTGAGAAGCAACAAAGCCCACATGGAAGAA